CCTCCTCCTTCCCTCCCTTCCTCCTCCTTCCCTCCCTCTATCCCTCCCTCCCGCCCTGCCCGTACCCGCCCTCTCTTCCTCCCTCCCTCCCTCTATCCCTCCCTCCCTTCCCGTTACCCTCCCTCCCTCCCTCCCTCCCTCCCTCCCTCCCTCCCTCCCTCTTCCCGCCCTCTCTCTCACGCCCAAGTATAGCCCCATCTTCCCCCGCGACATTTTCATACAATATTAGATTCAAAAATCAGGTAATTGCATTGTATTCGTGGCCAAATATTCTCTTGCGTGTTATGTTGAATCTCGGTCCGTGCCTGCCTTCCGGTGTTTTTTGTTCTTGTTCTTGTTCCTGTCTTTCTTGTTTTTTTTCCTGTTGTTCTTGTTCTTCTCCTTGTTTGTTTTACCAGTTGTTCTTGTTCTTGTTTTCTTGTTGTTCTTGTTCTTGTTTTCCTGTTGTTTTTGTTCTTCTCCCTTTTTTTTACCAGTTGTTCTTGTTCTTGTTTTCTTGTTGTTCTTGTTCTTCTCCTTGTTTTTTCCAGTTGTTCTTGTTTTCTTGTTGTTCTTGTTCTTATTTTTCCTGTTGTTCTTGTTCTTGTTTTTCCTGTTGTTCTTGTTCTTGTTTTTCCTGTTGTTCTTGTTCTTGTTTTCCTGTTGTTCTTGATCTTCCTCTTTTTTCTTGTTCTTGTTGTTGTTTTCTTCTTGTTGTTGTTCTGCTTTTTTCTTGTTCTTGTTCCTCTTTTCGTTCTTGTTCTTAATCCCCTTCTTGTTCTTCTTCTGGGAATCTCGAATTGTTTATTGTGCTTGATGTTATTGCGTCCGGGAGGGGATGCTGTTATTATTGTTATTATCATCATCTGTCGTTATTATCAATGTTACTACCTATTATGGTCATTATTGTCATTATCATTATTTACTGGTATTATTATTTGTAGTCGTATCATTATTATTGTTATCATTATTGTTGTTATTATTGTTATTATTATTATTATTATTATTATTATTGTTATTATTATTATTGTTATTATTATTATTATCATTATTATTATTATCATTATTATTGTTATTATTGTTATTATTATTATTATTATTATTATTATCATCAATATCATTATTATTTAATTTTCATCCTCACCTTCATCATCATTATTATTATTGTATATATGATATTATTGTTATTGTTATTATTTTTATTACATATTATCATTATCATTATTGTCATTAATAGTTTTTAAAATTATTATTATTGTTACAAATTATTGTTATTATTATCATTGTTACCTCCGCCAAGGAGGTTATGTTTTTGACGGCGTTGGTTTGTTGGTTAGTTTGTTTGTTAGCAGCCTAGCTGGGGACAAGTCAGAAAGGGACTAACTTAGAACTGATTAAATTTTGGTGACATTCCGAATTACCGTCTGGTTACTATTATTATTATCATTAATTAATCAATAAAGTACACAAATCTACGGTAAACGTGTACCGCATTTCACTGACATTCCGAATTACCGTCTGGACGCAGCAGCGGTGTAAGTACATTATATACGCACCTTGGCAGAGGTCTGCACTCTCTGAGTGCTTTTCTAGTTATTATTATTATTGTTGTTGTTATTATTATTATTGTTATTATTGTTATTATTGTTATTATTATTATTATTATTGTTATTATTATTATTATTGTTATTATTATTATTATTATTATTATCATTATTATTAGTATTATTGTTGGTTTGTTGCTGTTGTTAAAATTTGTTGTTATTATTGGTAATGCCATTGATATTATTGTTATTGCCACATATATTTTTGTCATTGCCATTAGTATATTCGCCAGCCAGGTTATTTCCACGGAATGAGCTTGAGCAGATTTACTTTTTCATTTTTATTTACTTGTCATTTTAGTTTTTGCTTCTCATTCACTATCATAATTTATTTGGTTGTTCATTTCTCCCCCCCCCCCCATATATAAATTTAAAATCTCTTTGGCGAAATCAGTCAAGCAGCCAATCAGCGGGATCTTCGTGTATTATTTTCAGCCAATCACACACGTGGCTGAGCGCGGGCCAATCACGTTACGGAACGCTTCTACGTTTTTATCGTTATCGCCGACGAGACGGGAAAAAGCTGATCTATCTTCTTTTTTTCAGTATAATAGATTCGATGAAGATAGGAAATGAGAGCTGAATTGGCCCTTTTATGGCTATATATATTGTAAGGGCTGGATATAATTTAGAAAAATGGCGCCCGTTTTCTGTTTTTTTCTACTTTCTTTGGGTCGAAGTTTTCCTTTCCATCTCAGTGTTCAAATATTTAGGTGATAGAATATTTGTCAAATGCGAAGCACACGTATGCACGCACACACACACACACACACACACACACACACACACACACACACACACACACACACACACACACACACACACACACACACACACACACACGCACACACACAGAACGAAAGACAGACAGGCACGCAGACCGACCCCGCGGCGCTGACCCGGCCTCCCTCCCGCAG